ATATATATATATATATATATATATATATATATATAATAGTATTCATACATGTTTGACCATTAGTCTTTTTTTGTTGAACTTCTAAGAATCTAAATCTTGATCTCGGTCTTGTGAAAAATTTTAAAGTCTTGGTCTTGGGTTGATTTTATGATGTCTTAGTCTTGGTATTAGTCTTCAAGTCTTAAGTCTTGGTCTTAGTTTTATATGACCAGCCAGGAAAAACGTTTTATAAAAATTTCATAAATTTTAAAACGTATGGTCTATTGAAATTTCATAGAATTCTAAAAAATGTTTATAAAACCTCTAAAAATTTATATAGATATTGCTATAGAATATTTTTTCTACATATAATTACATACAAAAAACTTCTTCATAAAATTTAGTTTAAATAAGGTGAGATATCAGAATACGACCATTCAAAGCTATCAAAAAAGGTTTAATTTTTATATTAATTAATTTAAACGTAGTTATAAATCAGAATTATAATAAGCCTTACTTTAATGAAAAGGCTCAATGTAATAACGGTTTCCATATATGTAAAAACCTATTTAAAATTTAGAAATAGCCTAAAGTTAAATTTTTTTCAATAAATAATACTTACTAGAGATCCTTCTTTTGGATTATCAAAATTTATTGGCTGTCTTTTTTCTGCTGAATAATAAGATGATTTACTTAACGTAACCATACTGACGGGATCAGTAAATGTTTCACTTATCGTAACCATACTTACAGGATCAGTAAATGTTTCACTTATCGGAGAAGTCGAAGGTGGCTAAAAATTAAAACAAAAAATTATATTAGGAAATTATTTGATTTTAAAATTTATTTAAGTTGCTTCATTTGGTGTTCACAACTAATAAAAGTTTAAAAGAATTTAAAAAAGAGTATTCTCTAAAGTATTCTACCTCATTATTTTAAACATTTATTTTGACTTTTTTTTTGTCGGTAAATAGATTAGGAAAGAGTGTGAACAGATTGAAATTTATTCAGATTTTCAACTTTAATAAAGCAGTCTGATTACAGAACAGATTTTATTTTTATTTATTTTTTTATTACAGAACTTTTGTATTAACTTAATAATTTTTATAAAGTTTGAAAAATTGTTTTTTTCTAGATTACAAATTTAAAGAAAAAAAGACTTAATAGCAATTTTTTTAGATATTATTAGCATTGTTATTCTAACATTAATGACTGATCCCATTATTAAATTTTTTTAAAGTCAACCGCAATATTTGGACCTTTTCTCAATTTATATCAACTGTAATATTAGGATTTTTCTCAAAGTATGTCAACCCTAATATTAGGACTTTTTTTCAAAGTCAACCGTTATATGAAAAACATAGAAATAAAATTTTAAAAGTTTTATTTTTATTACGGAAATAAAAATTAATAGTAAAACATTAAAAACATGCAATTATTGTGAAAACGGATTATTTTAAGTAAAAATCTGTCAAAATAATTTTAAACAAATTAAATACTTTAAATAATAAACGTTTTCCAAATTAATATATATCAAAGTTTATTATTACTTCTAGAAATTAATACATTATTCCGCTTCTTTTAATATCAAGACGCTAAATGATTAAGATTTGAAAAAAAAAATTTCATAATACATGGACACTTTAAAATTTAACCCGAGCAGCACACTCCCTTGGCCCAACGTCAGAACAACGTCGGAATTGTTTGATCAACGCCTGCACAACGTTGGCCCGAAGTGTTGTGTTGCTTGGGAATGGTTCAAGAAAAAAACCTTAAAAACTCATCTAAATTAAAAAAACATTTTTACATTCTTGTTTTAAGCTTAAAAACATTTTGTTAATTCATTTAACAGCCATATGTCTTAGGTGGTTTATATTTTGCCTGTCCAAATTTTTTAAATAATTTAATTTGCCAAATAACACCGGATCATGATTGATCCCTCTGATCCCTCTTAAGACGAAACTAGAATCAATAAAAAAATTTTGTTTAATGTTTATAAAAAAACAACCATAAAAATAATAATTTTAGAATAAAAGAGATTTTAATTGCTGTTTATATTAGAAGACTGAGTGGTTGGACTATAATATTATAGTCCTCTAAGATATTATTAATACTTTATGAGATTGTTTCTCCAGCTTTCATTTTTAAAGATTGAATTAAGTTGAAAGCTTTAGATTTAATAAAATAGTATTTGCAAAATACCGAGCAAGCTGTTCTAACAAAGAAGTTGCACAAAGCATAAACTATGATGGCGTGTTTTTATCCCATGAAATTTTTAAGATCTGTAACTAACTTTAAGATCTGTAACTAAATTTGCTTGAAACATACAAACACTACCTACATAGTTGTTAACGATATATTCAGCTACATCATTTTCTGATGAATTTATGTCCATATCAATCTCATTCTTAATTTCTTTAGCTTGATAAACCATTGATAAAGATGGCGACGACGACCGTGATACATTAACGGATCGAGTAAGCAAAGGTGACAAACAACGAGACACGTTCTAAATCAGTATAAGTTATTTTTAAGTTTATTTAAATCAAAGAAAAAATATAGAAATATAGTTCCACCACGTAAAAAAACGGTTAGTCAAACCTACACAGATTTAAAATTATTTTTAACTTATTGTGGTTTGTATATATATATATATATATATATATATATATAATATATATATATATATATATATATATATATATATATATATATATATATATATATATATATATATATATATATATATATATATATATATATAAATATATATATATATATATATATATATATATATATATATATATATATATATATATATATATAAATATATATATATATATATATATATTATATATATATATATATATATATATATATATATATATATATATATATATGTATATATATATATATATATGTGTGTGTGTGTGTGTGTGTGTGTGTGTGTGTGTGTGTGTGTGTGTGTGTGTGTGTGTGTGTATGTATATATAATAAATCTCTAGTTGCTTGCAATTTTAAAATCGTTTTAAGAAATATTTACCTCGTTTGATTTATAAGACATTTTTTTAAAGTGCAAAATTTACTTAAGGCGTCTCGAACCGTTTTGATGTTAATACTTACTAAAAAAAATTCATGCTGACGTGGGTAGTATGATTCACGCTGTTCACCGAAGCGTGGATGGGCCTATGCGCACGGCGAGTTCAAGTTTTAATACCTAGCTGCATCTATTTTATTGATTACGTGTTTCCTAAATTATAAAATTTGCATAAAACTATGTTGTTAGTAACTTGTCTCTATGCGAGCCCTATTCTGCGCCCTTTAAAAAGTTGTGCCATATAATATTAAAAAAGTTTTTTTTTCTAGCTAAATGCATTTTTTTTACTTCTAAAAACTTATTTTTAAAACAGTCTGATAAATAAATTGTTTAGATTTTAAAAACCAATATATGAAAATTATTTTGTCATATATACCCAGTTTTGATGAAACAATGCATGAGGCATATCCTAATGGCAATCAAGCTAAAACATTGGTTATAATGCGTAAAAAATATAATATTTCTTGTGCGTAAAACAAAATATATTGCGGATTTATTAAATATTTTTTTTGGAGCTACTGCAATCATAAAATTGCAATCATAAAAATTTGACTTTTAGTCTAAATAATAAATTTGAACAAATGGAATGTTTCACTAAAACCTTCCATGATTTTCAAGCATATCTTTTTTAGCAAAACTAATGTATACAATCTTTTATAATTTTTGCTAGAATGAAAATTCATTCTTTTTAAGGAATTGACACTAAATGTCACAAATCTAATTTCAGTTATAATGCAATTTATAATTTTACTAATGTATTTATTTATTTTATTTATAAGTTCCTTTTTGCATTAAAATTATATATGTCTGCAACTCTATTCTGATATGAGGGATCACAATTGGATGGGTATTTTCATTTTCTGCCATCTTAATTTTACAAAAACTACTGAAAATTGAGACATAAAAATTTCGCTGATTAATTGTTTTTTTTTTTAATTTTAGGTACCCTAAAAAGTCATTACGGTCTTATCACAGAACACCGCGGAGGAGCATTTGAAGGGGTGTAACCCCCTTCAAATGCTCTTCCGCCGTGTTTTAAAACTTGCCCAGGGAATTGAACCACGAATCTCTAGCTTCTGAGGCAAGTGCGCTAACCAATGCGCTATGGCTGCTCAAAGTTTATATTTAAATATATTATGTGTGTATATATGTATATATATATATATATATATATATATACATATATATATATATATATATATATATATATATATATATATATATATATATATATATATATACACTAGATATATATATATATATATATATATATATATATATATATATATATATATATATATATATATATATATATTTATATATATATATATATATTTATATATATATATATATATATATATATATATATATATATATACATATATATATATATATATATATATATATATATATATATATATATATATATATATATATATATATATATATATATATATATATATATATATATATATATATATATATATATATATATATATATATATATATATATATATATATATACATTTGAACATATTATTGTTATTAAACGAACAAACGAAAGTTAAAGGTTAAAAAGTTAAACTGAAGGAAAAGATGCAACTATTTTAAAGATTTTTCCTCGACTAAATTGGCTTTTAGTCGATAAGTAGGAAGTTCGTAGTCGATTAAATTAACTATTCGATTTTTCAAAGTTGACTAATTTTGACTTTCGACTAGTTGACTTTTAGTTGATTTAGTCAAAGTTGATAACAACACTATATAAAACCCATATTTAACCTGTTTAACTAACGGATCTCTTTTATTCAACGTTACTTTAATGTTGTAAATGCTGTTTTTGGTGGTCTCACTTCACCCTGGTAAATTGCATACATTGTTTTTTTTATCCGCCGCCATCAGGGGAATTTGCGATAACGGAGAAACCATTTCGATTGAAAAAAAAAAACTTTACAAATAGTGTTTACAAATTCTGATAGAGTATAAAATCTTCTACAATACAGTACTACCTTAAGATTCAAAAACTGACAGCAAAATTATAAAAATGGATAACATATGTAGTGCTTCCCCATGCCGCATATATACATATATATATATTTATTCATATATATATATATATATATATATATATATATATATATATATATATATATATATATATATATATATATATATATATATATATATATATATATATATATATATATATATATATATATATATATATATATATATATATATATATACATATAAACTTAATTCCAGGTTGAAAAAAGATTCAATCAGTCTTAAAAAATATTGATCACAAAAATAATATACTAGCATCTAGCAAACCTGAAGGAAAAAATTGCAACCGGGTGCAATGGTTTATTAGCATTTGTCTTTAACAGCAATTTATAGCGAAATTTACAGCATCTATTTCGCCAAACATAACAGTTCATTAACAAAAGCATTGAAGGTAATTACTTTCTAACAATGTGGGGAAAAAAAAGTAGCATTCCAGAAAGAAATAAAAGGATTGAAATCAAAACCAGAGAAATATAGATCTATTTCAATGCTTACCATATTAGGAAAGATGTTTGAGTAGATAATAGCTGACAACTGTCTACCTTTAGTGATATAAATAACACAATTCCTCCGGAAAAAAATGGATTTAGAGAGAAATTGAGTTATGAGTATGCTCTATTGATCAGGGTAAATTTGCAGGTGCTAATCTGATTGGGCTGTCTAAGGCATTTGACTTCGTTTCATACAAACCTTTTATTAACAAACTTTTCAAAATAGGTTGTAGCTTGAGCACAATATCTTGGTTCCAAAGCTATTTATCAGATAGGGAGCAAAGAGTCATTCAGGCCGATTAAGTAAGCCAGTGGAAGCCATGGTTGTGTGGACTTTCTCAGAGAAGAGAAGTTAGTCATAAACTTTTTAATATTTACATTAGAGATCTTCCAACTTGCCCCAATTCTCATACACCTCAGTTTGCATACAATATTACTTAATCTGAGGAAGATGTGGACTCGTATGTACTAACAAATTATAATGGATACATACATTTTATAAAACCAATGGCCTCACAATAAATTCATCACAGTTTATAATATTTAAGAACACTAGAAACTGCCGGATATTTTACAGATGGTAGTAGACGGCTGCGTAATCAATCCAGTCAAATCAGTTAAATTGCTTGGAGTAATCCTTGTTTGGCATCTTACCTTTGGTCCTTATATAAATAATGTTTAAAAAAATGGTTTCATGGTTTTTTCGAGAGCTAGTTGCCACTAGTTGCCATCTGCATCCTTTTGACACAATTGCAGTTTCATGTCGCTCAGCTTTACAGTCTCCTGAGAGTGAGAGTTGGCAATTATTTGGAAATAATTGTATGGCTGTTAAAATTGTTTTTCCATGAACAATACGAGGTTTATAGATGTCAAAGGTGATCCAAAAGGATTTGTAAATTTTTTAGATGAAAACAATCTACCACGAAGTATTATTCCTAGATATCGTGGAAATAGGCTTCATATTCTTTTTCATACTTGTTTCATTTTTATGAAACATTACAGTGAGTTTAAACATTTCCTCACTGTTAGAACAGTAAAATGTAAAAGTTTGCAAGCAATTCTGAGAGGGGCATTTTGTTATATAACTGCTATAAAAGAAATGTGCGTGCTTGCATTGTTTGGAAAACTTCTTACTGGGTCTTGGATGAAAAAGTTTTATGTTTCGGCTAAGGATGCAACTTTTGATCATGTTTCTGGTATTCAGGTAGTGAAAAAAGTTTTGTTAATAATTGCAAATTGTAAATCTAATCCAGCTGCTCTGTTTCGTAGAAGAACAGATTTTTTTCAATCTTATTTAAAATTTATTATTTAAATAGTTTTTATATTTAGAAGAAGAGGAGAATGAAATATTTTAAGATATAAAATCTGTTTTAATCTTGTATGAAAAAGTTTGTTTTTACACAGTGTATTAAAATAGTTGATCTGTATTTAGCAAAAAAAAAGAATTGGAACTTAGAAAAGGTATCAAAGGTCTCCGATTTTCCCTGATTTTTTCTAATTTTCAATGATAAAAAATTTCCTGATTTTTTCTAATATTCAATGATAAAAAATATTGACTCTTTTGAATTAACTTTTATTTTAGCGGCAATAAAGCAACAGATTGTTAAAAATATTTCATTTTAATTTTAGAATTAGCCAATTAGTTTTAAGCTAAATGCTATAATATTGCCTATGTTTCTTTAAAATTTGTAATTTTTAGCTCGCAAAAGAGAGGAGCTTGGTAAATATATTTAAATAATTTGTAACTTTTTGTTTTTTACTGAATTTATACTAAACAAAAATAATTTCAAAATTTTTTATTTTCAGCTAAAAGAAAGGAAATTCTTGGTAGGATTTTTATTGTTTAATAAATATTGCATTAGTTTGAACAATAAATTGTTAATTGAGGTGAAATAGATTTACACTGCAGTCGCGTATTTTAATTTATTTGTTTGTTTTATAAAATAAATTTACAGCTCAAAAAAGTACTTTTTTATGATTTTTTATTCAATTTATTTTAATCCTACCAGCATCTTCAACGTCATCACTGCCATGTGGCACCCAGAGTGGAAACCGAAAAAAGCCTTGGTAATTCTTTAACTCATTTCTTTTATTTTTTATTTATTTTCATTTTGAAAAATTTTTTTTTTTATAAAATATAGGCTTGCCTAGGAGTGATTTTTTGGTTTGGCACCGCAGTCACCCTGGGTCTTAATGAAAAAGGGCTTTCTGTATATGGGCCCAGAATGGAGGTAAAGATCTGCCTCATTTTAAATACAAACCTCCTGGTGGCAGAAAGGATGGCAGATAAATCAGGAATGGTGACGTTTTCAACAACTACAGATATACTTATTAATAAGTGCATGCAGATTCACTTTTTAGTGAATCTATATACACCTATTAATAGGTGTATGTATAGTGTGTATGTATATATTGATTACGTTTTTATTTGTATATAGTCTTTTTGTATTTTAAGTTTTTGTATATAGTTATGAGTTTGTTTTTTTTATGTAAAATTTGTGTTTCATATAAATAATATTTATTTTTACAAAAAGGTATTTGAGTTTTAACCCACCATACCTAGGTATAAGGGGTGGAGAACTTCAAAATAGTACTCTTTTGTGCCCTCTTTGCGCGTCTATTCCTGAAATTCTTTCTTTTGATGTTAAAATGTATGCATTTAGATATGAAAATACAAATTAATGACCTTGACGTTAGGTTAAAGGGTGCAGCTACAGCTAAAAAAGGTGCACTCAAAAGACTTTTTTTATTTTTATTTTAATTCACCTCCTCAAGGCCGAGAAGGCCACTACAGACGAGGAGGCTACTTATTTATGGCTATAACCCTCTCTCAACTCTATAACTCCGAAACACGAACCTTGACGAACAAGGCCGCTGCGCGGAGAAACGAGTTGAGCGCGGTACTACTAGGGACGTGGTGGGGATCGAACTCGGAACCACTCGTTTATGAAGCGAGCGCTCTACCACTACACCACTACCGCATATATCAAGCATACTTCTAGCATATTAACCTAAAGTATCTAAATTATATTTGATAGTACCCTGTTGAATATTTTAAAAAATACAAATAATATTTTGATATTTTCTTTACAAGTAACGACATTTTTTAACATATTAAAGTGTTTTTTAGACGCCCCTCTAGCGCCCTTTATACATACTTTGAATATAGATATTGCCTTTAGTAAGACCTTTTTTTTGATACCAGGTTGTATGTATTTTGATAGGAATTAACAAAGTTATGACGTTTTAAGTTAAAAAAACTTAAAATTTGATCACAGTTTTTTTAAGAAATCCATATATCAAAAAATCAATACTTAAAATGCCATAACTTTTTGTAGAATTGATCAATTTTGATAATTATTTCACCTTTAAAATACTGAACTGAAGACTTTTCAAACGATATATAACAATCTAATGTTTGATGAATTTAAAAATTTCATGTCACGTACCAATATATATATATATATATATATATATATATATATATATATATATATATATATATATATATATATATATATATATATATATATATATATATATATATATATATATATATATATATATATATATATATGTATATATATATATATATATATATATATATATATATATATATATATATATATATACATATATATATATATATATATATATATATATATATATATATATATATATATATATATATATATATATACATATATATATATATATATATATATATATATATATATATATATATATATACTATATATATATATATATATATATATATATATATATATATATATATATATATATATATATATATATATATATATATATATATATATATATATATATATATATATATATATATATATATATAAGGCCGGCGCGATAGGGGTGTGTGGGGTGACTCCCCCCCATCAATGATATTTAGTCGGCAAATTTGACCCTTAGTCGGCAAATGTGACCCTTTTTGACTAGTTAGTCGGCAAATGTAAACCCTGTCGATAGGTTAGTCGGTAAAGTCAGTCAACAAATGTTGTTATGGCAGTCGGTAAATTTTAAAAAACGAGGACCTTATATTTTTTTTTTTTTAGTCGGCAAAAGTTGTAATGGCACCCCCCACGTGACCCCTACTCGCGCCAGCCTTGTATATATATATATATATATATATACATATATATATATATATATATATATATATATATATATATATATATATATACACACACATATATATATATATATATATATATATATATATATATATATATATATATATATATATATATACATACATACAAATCGTTTATATTAATATATAATATTTATAATATCGTATCTATAATATTCAAGAAAATTAAAAATTGGGCAACCTTGTGTTTTAATTTTTAACAATTTAATGTTGTAATAGATCTATGACTATATTAATGTGTAATGTGTCAATGTCTATATTAATGTAGATACATTCTTTTCTGCTATTCTAAAGTTTACTTGTGAACTGAAAGTTATTTTATTTGTATATTGTTTAATGATAACTTACTTTAATTTAAAGATTATTTATCAAACAGAAAGCAATTCAGTATAAAACAACAAAAACAACAACAAGCACCATTACTTGCGGGGTTCCTCACTCTATATAAATGATTTATTTTCAACATTAAAGTTATTAAATTTAATCTTATTTACGGATGACTTCAATTTGATTATTCATATAGAGACATTAGGACAAAAAGACCAAATTCATCCTTTTTCATAAACCAAATAAAAATGAAAATATTTCTCTTAAACTACCTGATCTAAAAATAAATAATAATAATATAAAAAGAGAAACTTTCATAAACTTTCTAGATGTGGTCTTGGATGAAAATTGTGGAAGTTCCATATAAACACTTTAGAGAGAAAGCTTTTAAAAAATATTTCATTAATGTATAAAGCAAAACTTTTCCTAAATAATAATCCTTAAAAAGTTTATATTTTTTATTATGCATAGTCACCTAAGCTATGGATACGTCATCAATATTTGGGCGGTCATAAAAGCTCAAAAAGTTTATTTTTCAGCGTCTTATTTACCTTTCTTGAAAAAAATTGTTGTAATAGTTTTAAAACTAATGTTTTGATTTATGTCAGTTTTGATAAATGAACTATTTTTCAATCCAGAGAATTAGCAGGAACGCAAAAATGCCATGTGCTGTATCAGAAACAAATGACTGTTGCGCTCACAAAACTTTTAAAATTTAAAACTTTTTAAATTTTCATTTCTTTATTTGGTTTGAATTAAGGGCGCCGCTCTTTATTTTTGACCAGGGCGCCAACAGCGCTCTCAAAGGCCCTGAAAATAGAATGTATATCAGTTTCACCGCTAAGAACTAAAATCGCCGCCATCTTGGGACGCCAATTTTGAATTCAACTTTTTTAGGAAAAAACAATAGAATCCGCTACCCAGTTATGTTTTGAGATTAGTGATTCAGAAAGCGTAAACAATTAAAAAAACAAAGGCGGTAATTTTTATAAACAAACTACTTTCATTTTCAAACTTGTTTCGTCTTTATTCAGTAAACTTTAATTGACATTTGGTTTCTTTCATTTTTATAAAAATATTTTTAAGTAACTTTTAACTTATTTTTATAAAAACATTTATATCTTTAAACACTAAGTCATACAAATAGCTAATATAGCTTCATTAATGTATTAAGATGAATACTTTTTGTTGTTAGCAAAGCGCAAAAATGAAAAATATATTACATAATTCATTCCAAGTGCTTTTAAAAGTAGCATGCTTTTTTAAAATCATGCTACTTTTTAACACAAATGTATATCAACACAAGTGTATATTACATTCATATATCTCCAGCAAAACTGTTATAACAGACGGTTCGGTTGTTTATAATATTTAGCCATTATTTACGAATTCTTTTTTGCATAAATTAAATACAAATAAATAAAAAGTTGTTCGGTTTGCCACCAATCGGATTTGTTTAAAATTATCGGCTTTTATTTTCACGAGATTTTTTGTTCTACGCCTTAGTTGCTTTGAGATATAAAATCGTGATAAATACTTGTGATAAAATATATATAAAATGTGTAAAACTACGTTTCATAATTGATATAACTGTTGATATATAAATTCTTTTGGAAAAATAAATTTAGAACAAATAAAAGTAAAAGCAAATAAAAGAAATATATTGAGCTAGTTTATATTTTTTTTACAAAAAGAGAAAAAGAATTATCCGTAGATAATAAAAAACGCTTTGCACGGCGGTTATTTTTGACTGTTTTTCTCCCAAAGGGGCTGTCCATTAATTACGTCAACATTTTTTTGGCAATTTTTACCTCTCTCCTTCCCCCTTGTCAACAACTTGTCAAACTTTCAGTGACTCCTCTAAAAAAATAACGTCAACATTCGATAACACCCTCCCACCACCACGACCACCACCACCAAAAAAAAAAAAAATTAAGATGGAAAAAAAAATGTTTTAAATTGACTAGTTTAGAACTGAAAGAAAATAGTGTTTCAAAGTAAAATGTTTAGAAAAAAAAATGTATTCAAATTCTAATTTATGAACATATTTCACATGAAAAAAAAGATTGAAGGATTCACAAAAATGTTTACACGTTTAAATTGTAATCATATTTCAAATTAATAAAATTCTCCTCACTTTAACATTAGACCTAATACAAATTTACAGTGAAAGCCAATTATTTTTAATAGAGCCTATAATAACAAAAAAAGCATTTAACAAATTGTATAAACCAGGGACGGCAGAGCCAAAAGTTACAGTATACAAAGTTTTTCAGTTTTTAAAGAGCTACCAACATCTTTATTTTATTATTATATTTAGGGATGCGGAGTCCCGAAAAGGACTCCGGATTTGAATGCCACAAAAAGATTACTTCTTCCTAATTTTTGGTATCCATGTTCTAATAATATAAAAAACGCTTATGGATTGATATTGGTAAAAAAGTTAAGACTTTATAGTTAGAGGAACAATCTCTTTTTGAACCCGGATTCTTTAGGTATAATGGCAGCTAAGACTCTGGGACTCCGGGCTTAAAAACAATATGTTTCAAGTCATTAAACTTCATGAATTTTTTTTATTTAGCAGATCATAAATCAAACAACATGTTCAGAGTTTTTGGACACCAGAGACCAGTAAAAAATAGAGATATAAAATCGGAGACCTTTTGGGACTCCGCATCCCTGATTATGCTAATATTTGTGTAGACTACATGACGACGTTATTAACTATTAATATTATTACTTATAAAGAGAGCTTTTTAGTTGATCTCAATTTCCAGTTTACAACTATATGTCTAAATTAGAGTTATATATCATTTTCAAGCAAAATAACCATAAAAATGTCTGTTTTTTTACAAAATACAAATATATTTACGGCATCACTTAAAAGAAGATATATGTTGTAAACTGGAATTGTAGATTTATATATTATGAATCCAAGCGGAAATTTTCAGATCAT